TAGGCGAAATCGGCTACCGAAGAAACGTCTAAGTAACGTTTTTATAGTTATCGATAATCGATAACAGCATAGTATATTTTATTAAAGCTTGAATATATTTTTTTACTATCCAAAATAATAAAGATAATAACAATTAAATATCTTTAGCCTGATATATCGATGAATTATGAGAAACGTGTTATCGATATATTGCATAGTTTCTTTTTGTTAGGTTTTTTTAATTTAAGTATAATTAAACACACAAATAGAGCAATATAATCTGTCGGCGCATAATAACAACAAATAGCTATATATATATATAGTAATAATATCGATATCGAAAACACTAGAACATTTTAAATTATAGAAAATAGTATAATCTGTGACTAATGTTTCAAAATCTATTCACGATATTTATCGGAACTTGTTATCGATCACTCGCAAGTTCGATAAGCATTCTGAGACTCGCTTCCCGCATGCGACGAGTACAGGGTAAAGCTACCTATGTAAAGCACTATAGAATGCCTATATATAGTGCCAGGCATGTAGGCATGTAGGCCAGTTTAATGGCTCAATGGGCTTTATTTATAATACATTTAGTCGTTTTTTTATATGTTTTTTTTCCGTGTAATACTATTGTGAAAAACTATTGACCTTAAATTGTCGCAAACGCGTTGGCGTAATGAGCCCGAATTCTTGCCCCTGACAACGGATCGCAGCGACGATTTAACGCAAATGAGCTGAAATTTATGCTTTTGACTGCTTTTGGTACGGGCCAACTCGATGCGAATGCCTAACAGCGCAGGAAGTTGGCACTGTATGTTGCTGTTGCTGTTGCTGTTGGCGCTTTTGCTGCTGCTGCTAATGATGATGGCAATGACAGCTATGACAGTTGCGACGCATATGCAAATCCAGTTTCGGTCAATTGCATGACCAATTAACAGATGCGAAACGCCGGGGTAGATAGGGGTAATAATATCAGCCCGATATCCGGGCTCACGGCTGTGGGGCAATTAAATGACCAACGCTTGAATCGGCACAAGAGCAACAATTACGAATGCGGAGCAGGCAGCCGTGGCACATGCAACAAACGCTTTCACTGGCCATTGCCCGTTGCCCGTTGCCCGTTGCCCGCTGCCAATTGCCAGCTGCAAACAAATCCTAGCCAAAGATCAGAAAATATATAACGTGGGCGAATGCCAGCTTTCCCACGTTGTTGCCGCTGCTGCCGCCGTCGTCTTGGGGCTTGGTCAGCCATTAGTCACGCTCAGTTTTGTTTATCTGGCGCGTCGCATTCGCCCGAAATCGCGGCGCATATAGACATTGGCCGTTGTCTTTGCCAAAGAATAAATAAACAATCGGAAATATGCTTGGCAATGTTCATAGATGTTGCCATTGTCGCACACACACTCACACACACACACACACACACACACATCGGCACATTCCCATTTCCAATCCGATTCCCGCTCACTTTCCAGCTGCTGCTGATGCGCTGATGTGTGGCCCAAGGCTTATTATTGTTATTGTTGCTGCCGTTTGTTTGCATTAAGTCAGGCTAAGAGCCAAGTTTATGCCAACATCAGCAGAAGCAACACAAAATACCCTGTAAAAAGCTGACAGTTGGCATTGATATTGATGAACTCTAGAAGCTTCGCTCCCCACCTTCAATTTGATTTGACTTTTATCTCTCTCGCTCATCATAGCCCATTGGCAGCGAGTACAGGGTATGGCAAGCACAAGCCGCTGCCGTGAGAGATTTTCGGTTGACGCTGACGAACATTCAGAGTTCTTTGTTCTGTGTGGCAAGCGACATTTAAGCCGCAATTTGTTGCCAGCCAACAAAATGGATATAAAGTCGTTCTTCTCTCGTGCTCTTGCCATGGGAAACGCAACCAAGGAAGTCTTAACTCCAGCCAAGCTGGAGCCAGCGGCAGTGGCAGCGCCATCGAGCCGTGACCGAAGCGCGTTCTATGCAATTTACAATTATTGCAAGCGGCAGCGGGAATGCTGGGATGATGCAGCAGCAGCTGGGAGTGGGGCTGGACCTGGAAGTGGAGCTGAGAGCTGCAGTTGAAGCTGCAACTGGAGCCAAAACTGGAACTGAACTGAAATCTGCTGCTGCTAAGGCTGCATGTGCTGCTGACAACTGGAGCTGGAGCTGGAGCTGATAAGTGGAACTGGAGCTGAAAAATGACTCGATATATTTACTTTAAATGTAATCGGAGCTGCAGTTGGAACTGCAAGTGAAGCTGAAAACTGACTCTAAAGCTGAAACTAGAGCTAAAGACTTGAGCAGAAGCTTAATCACAATCTTTACTATAAATAAAGCTAGAACTGGAGCTGGAACTGGACCCGGAACTTAAATTGAAGCTCTTAATGAAGCTACAAACGGGAACTGGTAACTCCACCTAAAGCTGGGGGTGGAGCTAAAGCTGCAGCTGAAGCTGACAAGTGAAACTGAAGCCAAGAAGTTCAACTGAAGAATCAATCGTTATCTTTGCTATAAATGAAGCTGAAAACGGAGCTGGAACTGGAACTGAAACGTTATATTTCAAGCCAGAAAAAAGGCATGGAACATTATGCAACTACAAAGACAGAAAATTTGAGAGTTTATGCCCAGACAGTTACAAAAATTAGACTAAAAACTAAACTATCGATTATTAACGATAAAAAAATGGAATAAGTTATCGAAAAAAAATATATATATACATATATATATATATATATATATATACAAAATGCAAAATTCTTTACCAACTAAATTTGAAACTTTGCTGGATGAAACGACAAATAATTTATAATAAATGGCAAATTCGAATTCGAACTCGAATTCGAGTTCGATTCATGCATAATAATCGCCGTGACATTCAAATTGCCTTTTCACCAAGATCTTTTCGACTTGGCTAGCTGCGATGACCTCGATCTGTGGCTGGACGGGCGCACATCTTCTTGCGCTAATGTGTTTTCATCTATGTACAGGTACAATGTGCACAGGTGGTATACATACAGCTGAAGCTCACCTACATTTGCGCGGGCACAGATAGGCGAACAGATAGCCGAACAGAGGAAGAGGGGTGAGGCGGAATGGTGAGGCGGTGGGACGCTTGGGCAGTCGGGCGCCTGATGAACGGACGCACTCAGCGAACAGTATCAGAAAGTGATCATAAATCTGTATAACCTGTATGTTGATTTTCACCAGCTCGCCATCAACACACACCTGTGTGTGCGTGTGTGTGTGTGTGTGTAGCTCTAGACATGTTGCTTATAACGAGGCTGAGCTGGAGTCGCGTTCTGTGTGCCCCCAAAATATAAAAAGTGAATTTTTGCGGCACTCGCTCCACTTCAGCCTTCGAGTTGGCAGCTTTTGTTGCCTTTGTTGTTGTTGTTGTTGTTGTTGTTGTATTTTTTCAGTTGACTTTTATACACTTTGTGCGCTGTTTTTTTGTTTTTGTTTTTGGGTCTCAGTTTCTTGTTTTTATTTTATTTTATTTTATTTTATTTTATTTTATTTAGTTGAGTTTTGCTTTGTTTTGTTTGTTTTTTTTTTTGCGCACTTGGCCTTAATTGCGCATGCGCGCGCACTTTCAATTCCTTTTGGATGATGACGCTGACGTCGATTAGAAACGGGAATAGAGGCAAGGAGAGGGGGCCGGTGGGCAGGTGGGCACAACAAAACGTGTGGCAAATTGAAGCTGTGGCAAAAGTAGATTTCAAGCGCGCCAATTATAATGATGCGGCACGGTAATGTAATAATTTTCATGTTGTCTGGGGTTAACCGTGCGTATAGCAACTGGAATGGAGCAACGCCGAAGGGGTGGAGGGGGTCCCAGAGGGGGGCTCGGTCGCAAAAGGCAGCAAATTGAGGCGGGCGAATCCAAACGAAAATTGCTCCGAAATGCGGCGTGCCGCGAGTGCTAAGCTGTTTTTTTTTCTTTTTGGCCAACCCAGGCTTTTGGCCAAAAAGCAAGTTCATGGCAACAACAACAGGAATAACAAATACAAGCTAAAAGTTAAGTAAAATCAAAATGGAATAACATTCAATAAGACCGAACTGCGCATACTCTACAGATGTAACTGTAAATGCCTTAGATCAATGTTAATGTCAAAATATTTAAATAATGAGAGCCGACAGAAAAAAATATAGATAAAAAATATAATTAATTCAGTTTGATCCCAGTTTTCCTAGTTTGATTAAGGCAAAAAAAAACTATTAGCCATAAAATGATTAAGTTATGTCTTTGAGCTGAAACTATGCGAAGTTCAGCTACGGCAACTGGTTCATTCATGCGTAAACCCGCAAAGCCTGAATGAACATGTTTTGCTACCCTGATCTAATTGAAGTGTATCGACAGAAAAAGAGCTTTAAGATTGTCTCGCATACAGATTTCTAGAGGCTGCCAGAGGCAGCGAGATGTTTTTTATTTATATATATATATATATATATATATATATATATATATATATATATATATATATATATATTTATATATATATATATATATTTATATTTATATTTATTTCTTTTTTCTTTATACTCTTTTTTTGCTACTTTGGTAACAGGTTCGTCGCTGTTGAGAAAAAGTCAAACGGCTCAATAATCGAAGACGGCTCCGACTGCGACGCCGACGGCGACTGCGACTGCGACGGCAACGGCGACTCCAACTCCATGATGGCTGGGCTTAGTGGCAGCCGGATAAAATGAGGACAACAGCAGCGACAGCTTTAATGAGGTTATGTCTAGCTTGTTTGTATCTGTGCAAATTTATCTGTATCTGTATCTGTATCTGTATCTGTATCTGCATCTATATCCCCGTGCTTGTATATCTGCATTTAGCGATCTGTATGTGTATATGTCCCTGCACACTAAGTATGTCAACTGGGATAGACAGAGAGTCAGCCAGTCAGCTAGTCAGATTATCAGCCAGATTTGGGCTTTTCGCTTTTTAGGCCATTATTTTTATTATTATTTGCTTATTAATAGCATGCAAAAAAAACATATGCAATGCATATTTGCTTACCACTTCCTCTGGTCGTAATGGGCTGGTACGAAGCACTCGTAATTGCTGTTGTTGACTTTTGTTGTCTCGCCTGTTGTTATTAATGTTGCTGCATAGTTTCATTAGTTTTCAGCAAAATTGCACAGATCATAAAATTACGAGAGGAAAAAATACAAAATGCAAAAAACAATGTGGAACGCGAAACAACTCTTTAAAATATGCACAAAATTCATATGCTTTTCACTACATAATACACGTAAAAAAAAACACACTCAAACGATAACAAAAACAAATCGTGGATAGAAAGAGGAAAAAAGCCGTTGCACGCCTGCGCTTTCAAAATTGTTTTGGCAAAGCTTTTTTCTTTGAGTTGCGAGCGCAGCGTCAACTTTCACGTACGAATGTTCAAAGCAAACTAACTGACAATGGCTTCGGCGACGGCGATTGCGATGGCGATGGAAACGGCAACGACGACGACTCCCTCCAATTCGATTGCGACTGCGCCAATCGCCGAAGTCAACTAGCAGCTCTGGCTGCTTTAGCCATTTTCAAGCCACAAATGAGCAGGCATTTCGTATGCATATAAGTTACAATGTCTAGCTTAACATTGTGATGGCAAAGGAAACTAGAATAGTATTAGTAATTCAGTGATTTAGCTCTGATTATAAAAGCTTAAAAGCCAATTAACATAAGTAAATTAATTAACCTGCAAATTATTGAAATAGATGTCAGTTATAAAAGCAATGGACTCGACAAATTTCACACAATAGTTAAGATTTATGTACGATCTAAGTCAATTACTAAACTTTCAAGTTCCTCACTCTGGCAACTGACGACTAAAAACCTAGAAATGATTTTCTCAGCACTTTTAAAAGCTGTCAGCACTGTTGCGTCTGCTCTCTTCGCTTCGTCGGCGTTGCCACTGCGTTGCAATTACACCGATTTATTCGCCGCGACCGCAATCATTGCCCGTTTGCGTCGTCGCCGTCGCAGTTAGCCGACTGATTAGCTGCCGATGGTGCCACAGTGGCCACTGTCTTGCCTCAGTTAATTTCCTTTAATTTTTGCGGCTTTTTGGCATATGGGTTAGTACCCAAGCATGTTCACATACATTACGTATGTACCTAAGAATGTTTTGTACGAATATTTACCTGCACAACTAACTGTACATTTGCAGTGAACTCATGCAACATTTAACATGAATTTCAGCTGATCGTCTTCAGTTTGGTGATGACAGAGAATAGAATGTGCTTTAATGTGACCAAGACAACGTTTATACAGGCATATCTTATCAGGTCACATTTCATGACCCACATAGGCTACATAAAGTTACAGGAAATATTCACTTTGGGCGATACAATTTGAATAAAATACATTAGATAATAGCCAAGTTATTGGCATATTAATCAGATGTCGGTTTAGGTCTTGACCTCAAAGGTCGAATAGGTATATTCTTGAATGACCTTCATGTTCTTTATGATGAAGTCCTTGATGGCAGAAACATATTCAGCTGCGCTCTTGATAAGGGTTTGGAATTTCTCGATCACCTTGCCTTCACCCTCTAGCTGGCCATTGTACTTGTCGTCAGCGACCTTCATTATATAGCCACGTAAGCCCAAGATCTTTGCCTGAGCGGCGGCAAAAAGCTCGAATGCCTCCTTCTTCACGTTGCCGTTGATCTCAAAATCGCAAGCCATGATTTTCGGCTTCTCTTCGTTAGTTCCCATTTGTTCTAGTCTTGGTAAATTTTGTTCAGAAGTTGAGATAAATTTTTTTCGAAATGATTTCAAATCTGTGCCACAGAAACAAATTGAATGAAGCTTGGCAGGGAAGTCAAAAATATAAAGGCATTTATATAGTGAAAGCATACTTAAACTCGTAAATCGGGGAGTTTTGGTTGAGACATCTTTAAAAACTAAGAACAGCAAGAACAATCCTGCGACATTCAATTCTTGTTAAGCAACTGCGAGGCAGTTTTACATGAGAAAGATAAAGATATATATACTCAAAAATGATCTATTTTGCTCCCTTTAGGCAAGGGCACTTCAAAAATGCATGTTTTTATTTGAACAGACCTCGTACATACACATATGATATAGTACTTCGATCCAGTGTTCGATTTCTGAAACATGCCTTCAGCAATAAGAGAAGCTGTGCAAAGTTTTTTAAGCAGAATCAGCTCGGAGCACAGCTGTGTTCACAAAAATAGTAGTGCGGCTGAGCTGTACATTTTGGACTAGACAATTTAGTGATAAACGCAATATATGAAAAGAATATTCAGATTAACATATTTCATATTAATTGAAATGTTTTTTGTTGCAAACCTAGGAACATATAAACTTTGGGGCTTGAGTGAAAAAATGATCAAAATTCAGTCGTTCATAAAAATAGTAGTGTCTACTTGAAGTGTGGAAAAAATACTATTTATCACTATTTTAACTTCATATAGGGAACGATGAGGCCCTGTCACTGGCTTAAAGGAATAAATTGCTTTGATTGAAGACTTTGCAGTTGGCACAGATCTCTTAACGTTGCTTCATAGGCGTCGATTTCTTTAGCAATCCAACTCGCTTGGGCCGTTATCCAGCTGACACGTCTATTTCAGAGGCATTTCTCAACTGCCATAAGTTCACATAGTTATTTTTACTTAATCTACCTTCAAGAGGAAGCTCTTTCCTGCAATGTCAAACGCAAAATAATTACATAGAAAATTGGCCAAAAAAAAAATGTCAAATACAAAATAAAAACTCAAATTAAATACTTATTGCAAATTAGTTAACAATATAATTATAACAAAAACAAAAAAAATATGAAAGAAAATAATGTTAATTTAAATCACAACGCGGCTCGAAAACTTTTGTGCTGTGCACACGTCACAGGTAAATTGTAATATGAATCTGCTTAGCGGCATTTGTGGCTCCGTCTAAAACCGATTTTTCTCAACTTTGTCTGTCTTCTGTCGCGGCTCTTCCTTAAAGACCGGCACAGGGGCGCGCCTAGTTAGTGGGCGGGGTGGGTAAAAAATAAATTAAAAAATTAAATAAATTGCTTAACTAAGTAGCCCAGACAACGACAACGACAAAGTCACACGCACAAAAGACAATGAAACAGAACGAGACCAGCGCACCGCACACTAAATACCCTGCAGAAGCATATGAAAATTGCATGTTTCACTTAACATTTACTTAAAGACCTGCCTAATACTTCATATAATCTAAAAAACAATCCATGGAAGTTTGTGAATTAGCATTGTACTTTTAATATTACAAAAAAAAAAAAACAAACAAACATTTGTCATACAGTTTTCAAGTTGATAATTAAATGTTATTAAATATTCGATATAACGAATATTCGATATTTTCGATATATCCTGTAGAGAGTAATATAGCATAATACATAGAATACATCTTTACAAGATTTGTGCATTAGTAAGGCATATAAATCTTTGTGCATGGCATTTCGGATGGAATGAATAGTAAATGTGAGGTTGTCAACCACCTGCCAGCGGACAGGTGGCGTCCATTCAGGTGTGCACATTTTCCGGAAAGCAGCTGTGCGGAAGAACATGCGCCAGTGCCAGAATAAACAGTTTTAACAGTTTTTACAGTATAATGTATACATATTTAATGGATTCCTGTTAACAATTTAATATTCGTTTAGCAAATTTTTGTTTCGTGCACAACTGAATTTAGCTTGAGTGCTTAATAGACATTATCATATATGGTATACGTATATTTATATAAAAAAAAACAAACAATTATATAGTATATAGATGGGTGTACATGATATTCAGATATATATATATATATATATAGTTTATATATATATAGCTTACGCAAGATTCATTATTCGCATTTTATGACCCACACAGAAGCCATGAGAATTTCGATTCACAAAAAAATTTTTTTATAGATATATAGAGATATAGACGTAGTTCTTTGTATGGATACCCCTTGTGTTTTGGGGCTTACGTTCTGCAAATGGACAGCGTGTCCAGTAGAAAGACGGCGCCATTGATTATCATCAGAGATCCAGCTGCGATGGCATTACGCTTGCTGTCCTTCAAGAAATCGTAGGCATCATGCCACTCATCAATGACCAGGGCACCTGAGGCCACGAACAGAATGCAGCCGATCAGCGAGAGCAGTGCATTGAGACGTTTCTCCACGACCGAACCGAGCACGTGTCCTACACAGACAGACAGACAGAGAGAGAGAGAGAATGAGATCCGAACTAGTAAATGATTTTTTCTAGCTACTCACCGATCAGTAGGACAGCGCAGATGATTGTGTAGCCTACAATGGTGCCGCACACAATCAATGGGCGCTTGGTCAAGTCGCCAACCACCTCATAGAGCACAACGCAAGCAATGGCAATACCCTGTAAATACATAAAACATCATTAATAACGGCAAAACAATAGTTAATTGGGTGAGAGAGCAAAGTAGATTTGGGCAGAGCTTTGCCTAGGATATATCTATTTACTATAAATGATCTATATTAACTGTATACATACATAATATAAACTCTGTAAATAATAGACTTTCTTCTATAGCAGATAGTCGCTGTCATATTTGCATACACTATATTATATGAGCTCGTATAGCTAATATAGAGACATATAAACAAGATCTTATCAATAGAAGGTATAGATGAATCTAATCAAAAATCAACGAAATTGAAATAAAGATATAAAATATAAAATAATAAATATAGGGATAAACAAATGAGTACAAAAAAAAAAAAAAAATATATATATATATATATATATATATATATATATATTAATAAATTATTATCAAATAACAATAAATTTGTTCAGAGAGCCCTTCCATTGTGAATGAATAAATCCCAGAGCGCAGCTGCTACTTATGTGTGTGTGGGTGTGTGCTATGTGTGTGTAAAAGAAGAGCAGAATGGATTCAAATAGCAGCTCTGCGCAGGTTTCAGGGTATTTCCGAGTCGTGCACTCCCGACTCGAGCACTTGTACTTGTATTGCTCTTCCCTCTATAGCCCAATAGTTAGAAACGCAAGCTAATTGAATAGTTACGGTAGCAGAATTTTAATTAGCACATGCTTCAGCTCTATTTCAATGACTAACTCTAGCTGCCCACTCGTAGGCCCAATGATTCATCTAACAATAAAATGTCTGAAATTGCTTGAATATGTCGAACATTTATTGGTCATGGAATATGACAAATGTGTCAGCGATAAAAATGGCGGCCGTGGCAAAGGCCAGCACTCCAGCGGCCAAGATGGTGTTCTTATCTCTGGCGATCTCGTAGCGGTACATCCAGCGATCGAATATGGTGGCGCCCGTCGAGACGAAGAGCACGCAGCCGGCCACCGTGAAGAGTATATCGATGCGCTTGTCCAGCTTGGCGCCCAGCAAGTGGCCTGCAATTGCAATGGGATATGCAGTCAGGCTGGCGGGCAACTGCCGAGGATCAACGTGGGGCGATATTACCTATGCTCAATGCACTGCATATGATCAGATAGCCGGTCAGTGTTCCACAGACGAGCATCGCCTGGCTGCTATAGCTCTGATCCGTCACGCTCTCGATCAGAATTATAATGCTCGCCGTGAAGATCTGCGATTAGCGCTTGAAACTTTGGATCAGACGGGAGGCAGCACGAAGAGTGAACAACTGCACAACTGGACAGACAGACTGACACGGAACATAGGTGGAAACAGAATCAGCTGTGGAGCACAGATGAAGACAGAAGAAGAAAGGTGCATTCACAAGCATTTTGTTCATTTTCATAGAAGAACTTGATACATAGAGAGGAATAGCAATAATATACAGCATCAATACAATATTCCCAACACAATATTTCTTCCACACAGAAAAATGTATTCACAGAGACTTTAAGATTTGATAGCACAAGGATTTATAGAGAGTGTCTTTTCCGGTTTGCCGAAGATGAAGAAACAGTTTTGCCTAAGCTCTTTTCTGTTTAATCTATCTCTATATATCTATATCTATAAATATGTCTATCTATCTACAGATTCATCTCTCTGTCTTAATATCAATCCTATCTTTATGTCATATCAATCATTTCATCTAAATCTTTCACATATTTGATACATTTATTGCGATTTGGGTGCCTAGTATATATAGTGAAATACATTGCATATGCTTATCGATATATCCATCTATCTATCAATCGTTTTATGTATAAGTCAATCTATTTATATATTTTTTGTATATCAGTTTATCAATATCTCTGTCCATTTCTCTATATCTATCTATCTATCTATCTATATATCTATATATACATCTATAAATATATCCATCTAACCTTTGATCCATTCATTCGATTTGAGTGCCCCGCACTTAGACAGCAAAGAGTCGCATTGATATGTCAACCATAAGTCGTATTGCCGCTTGCTATTATAATTCGGCTATAAGTCGAGGGACTTAATGCCATACGGAATTCCCCATGAAGTAAAGCCAATTTGCTTATCAAATGTGAAAATTATTTAGATATTGATATGACAAATGGCCGTTATATTGATGGCGCATTGTCAACAAATGGATCTATTAAGCTAACCCCATATATATATACATATGACATAGACATACATGCTTTTATTGCTATCGGCTATGTATGTATGCAAGAGAACGCTTCCTGCTAAACTGGGGCAATCAATCAATCAATTAGAGACGCTGTTAGACGCCGTTAATTGCTAGCTAAAAGGATGAGACATGGTTACATATCCTGTCAAGGCTACCACAGACACACACACACACACACACATTTATAGTTGTTTGATTTGTAATATGAGCTGCCTTGAACAACAACGACGAAGTCATTAAGGTAGCATGTTTATTAAGTTAGAGATAATGCACACAGGCTCACAGTTATATCGGTATATATACATATATATAAAAATAGAGAAAGCGAGAGAGAGATAGAGAGAGAGAGATAGAGAGAGAGAGAGATATGTACCCATTATATTTGAAAGCCTGGGCATGTGTTTCTATTATTGTTTACGTCGCGCCCATTAGTAGCAAATAAATTTGGATGATAAAAAGGCACAAATTAAGCAACAACAAATAAAATTTGTATGCCAAATAATTACTAACTGGCGCCCATTTGTTGCTATTCGCCATCGATATTCTGTGTAATTTAATTGAAAGTGGATCACACGGCGAGCTCTTAGCTCAGATGTGGTCCAACAGAGCTCAATGCCTGTGTCAGCTATAGTACCATCCAATTTGCCACGCCCCCGTCCATGTAACATCTTTAATCTATTGAAGAAGTTATTTTTTAAAGTTTGATATTTATAAAGCTTCAATGCCATGTAGGTGAGTAGACGTCTATATATATTCAAAAATTACAGTCGAGCAATATCTGAAGACGCTCAAAGGGATATTGCTTCAAGCTAATATGCTCATTTCACTTTTTGAGCGGGCATTAACTAATCGAAACTAACAGTAAAAGTAAGAATCCACTTTTTCAGGCTACTTGAACTGATATATATATGCCTAAACTGCCTCGACTATATACAAACTTTTAGTTTATTACCAAAATCATGGACTAAACATAAAAGTTGTACTATTTTTTATTATTCTTGTCAAATTTTGTTTATAATCAAATAATATTTCGAGGCAACGAAAAATGCATAAACTTCGAGAAGAAATAGTTTTTGTTTTATGTTTTTCTATAGTTGGAGCTTTATGGGACGCACACCTGGAAACACGATTTACAGCGCCTGAAAACGAAAGATTTTCAAAAATTCCATTTGGCTGCGTAAAGAAGATTGATTCAATGGGGTCAATTCCAAGAAATTTGATGCATAAAGTTGCGAGTGGAGAATGTCTCCGAGGTAGATATGTACTCAAGCTTGCAGCATCTACAGATTTTAGTTTATTTTAGTGGAAAACTCGGGGTTCCTATGGAAATAAATCGGGTAAACGAATTCATTGAACTTTTTAGCAATTTGCTAAGTTTGTGCTAACGATCGTTAGCTGGAATTTCCATTTGTTATGAGCCCTGTCCATTGGCTGTCCAAAAGTTAAGCCTAAGCGACTGGAAAGCAAACATGCAACAATGAATTTGAAACTGATCGACTCGAGCCATGCCCATATATCAGTTTCATTTGCAATTGACTACGATTTGGAACGTACTTAGTTAGGGGTAGGAGAAGGAGGTGGGGAGTAGGCGAGGGGCAGGGCATTTAGCAATTAATTATATGACGCTGACACGCCATTGACAATGGCCAATGCCCCGGGCGGGCAACACTGGGCCATGCCCCACAAAACAACAGCAACAAACACGAAGCAGAAGAAGAGCGCGCAAATAAATTAACAATGCGAACAACAATAATAAATGCGCTACAAATAGCGCGCACAGATTCGCAGTTAAAACATTTATTAGCTCGTAAACAGATTTGTGAGTGTGTTGCAAGAATTGTTGCTGCTGCTGTTGTCGTTGTTGTTGTTGCTGTGCTAAAAGTGGCAAAAGAAGACTTGAATAGAGGTCGCACATGAAGTCGACTGTGCTCACATCTCTTTGTATGTATGCATATCTAATGCAAACACTAAATGCGTCGCCTTATCTGCAACGCCTTGGGCTCAGAGCCCGTGACCAGCGTTTCCAAGAAGCCAAAAACAAATATTTTCGCCAAAGAATGTTGAAATGTTCAAATGTTCGAATATTACGAGTGTTCAATATTATTGAATGAATATGACTCAGCCGCTGGTAGTTGCTGCGGCGGCTGTTGCTGTTGCTGCTGCTGTTTAGCTCATTAAATGACCCAATGGCAACAACAATAACAAAATATTAAAAATTAGCTATGCCACACTCGCACACATTATTTTTGTTATTGTTTATTCAATGCAGCGCCCGCAGCTTCGACCTTTGTCGGCTGCCCCAACGCTGGCGCACATGGCGTATGCGTAATGTGAATCCGTTTGCGTTCGCACTTGCTAATATTATGACATCATCATCATCATTATCATCATCATCAGTTCGTGATCGACTGGCGCTGCTGCCGTTTACGTGCCAATGCGACTTGAGGCGCGTCTTGGTTTGATTTCATTTCATTTCATTTCGTTTCGTTTCGTTTCGTTTTATTTAATTACCCAGCCAAAGCCCGAGAGCTATGAAAATTCCCACAAAACTCAAGCTATATACCTTTAAGGTGTGGTCCCCTATACACAATATAGGTTGCCACGCACACACACTCGAGCCTTGATCTGGGCGTATGGCCGCAACCAATTACGGCTTAAAGTATTTATATATTGATCTCAATCTGATTCATTCCCAATCTATAATTTGTTTACGTCTAGTTCGACCAAGAAGAGCAGCAACAACAGCCTAATCCGTAGATGCTTCCTGACCAGCGCCTGTGTTTTGAGTCTATAATCTATCTAAAAGTATTTCATATATATCTATATATATATATATATATATATATATATATATATATATATATTCTACACAGATGCGTGTATCTTAATTGAAAGTCAAGATTAAAATAGTTGCTAAATTAAGCGACAAATTGTTCACTTGAAATTTGTAAGCATTCAATGCTAAGGCAAATGTTCTATATTTAACTCTGATCCACAGACCTAAAAAACCAGTCTGAACGTTGCAGTCGTCTGTAGCCGACTGCATAATACTTGCTCACGCTGAAATATATAGCATTATTGTATTATCTATTATATTATATACGGTATCTATCTATAATACTCAAAGAAATGTACATGAAAATTTTTAACTTATAAATTGCGGAAAATATAATCTATACCTCTAAAATATATTATTACATATACCAAGTCTCTAAGTTCAATACAGCCCAAAATTGTACTGAAACGAATGTTGAAATTTCCGAAATTCGGAAATTTTCCAATATATTCCAAATGCCAAGTCTTAGAAAGATTGATTGACAGAAAGGCAATGATTGCTGACAACCAATATACCCTGCAAAAAAGTTATTCTGAATGGGATGACCTGGTTAAGTCATCCCAGGCGATAAGGCACAAAATCTGTGAACTGAGCTGCATGCGTCATGTTGCACTTCAGTCACCGCTATCACTGCCCCAAGTACTGAAACAATTAAAATTTGCAAAATAAGCACATACATTAAACGAGGCCAGCTGATAAACGTAATTGTTTAAATGAATTAAAATATGTTTTCAAAACAAATATCCCATTTTTGTCAGCTTAAAAGTGCAATTACCTAAAGTAAAGAGGCCTAAAACTGGAATCTTGCAGACTGCGTAATTTGCGTTAACAGAACAACATTCGCCACTTCATTTTTTAATCCGATCTTCATTCAAATTCTGCCAAATCTCAATTTTTAATAAATAACATTTTTGTTTACGCTTGCAGGCAGTCGCAATCAAGACCCGTCGAGTTGAAAGCAAGCAAAAACCCAAAATAAATAAACTATGGAAATACACATCAAGTAATCTGCGCAACGGTGACATCATGGATGGAGAGCATCATTGCGGCATGCGAAATCGGCGGAAGTCAAAGCGAGTTGATGGCTTTTGTTGTTACTATTCTCAAGCCACATGTTCATGGAGCGCGGCGACGCGTCGATTCATTATTGTTTTTTTTTTTTTTGGGGGGGGGGGGGGGGATACATATGTATCTTCGAATACAATTGGTCAAATGATCTCAAAAGATTAATGACATCATGCCGGGCCTGGAATCACAAAAGACTCACTCATAATGCCAGCCACGCATTAGAGAACTACGCAGTTACAAAAAAGGAAGCACGCACAACAAGAACACAAATAAAAACAAAAACCAAAAAGAAAAACAAAATCACTGCCAAAAAAAGAAACTTCAAATGAAGTCATGACCAATAATGAAAACGAGTCTGAGCAATGCAAACCGGTTGCTTCAAGGCAACTAAGACAAGGGTAGGAATATAACAATCAAGAGACGACAACAATAACAAGAAGAAGACGACAAACAAGAACAAACTTCGTAACAGCAGCCGGCGTGAGAAGTAAAGGGAAAAGAGGAAAGAGAAGAGAAGCCCAAAAGGGAGCTGCGACACAGAAAGGAAAACAGTTTTAACAGGACTCATATCATCGACAAAAGTATATAGCCACACAGCGACACATATAAAATAGTTATATAGCACACATATATAAATATATATATATATAAATTATATATATATATATATATATATATATTTATATATGTAGGTATAAATAAATTGTCAACAACGTTTACTCACCAGCTCAATGATCTTCAATAGCAAACGATTGTTAAACTCCATGGCGTTTCCGTTGATACGTTTGAATATCGCTTTGTTATTAGCTTAGCTCGTTTAGTTTACTCTCCACTTTACGTACTTAGCTGTGTGCACGTCTTGTCCAAGCGCTGTGCGAAAACTGACTGAACCGAAGGTACGCCAGCGCGCGCATTCAAAGCTCAGGCAATCCAGGCAGAGGCAGTCATTCCGAAACCAAAAGCGACGACAGCGGCAGCGACTGCGACAGCAACAGCGACTGCGACAGCGACTTCGACTGCAGAGAACGCATTTGACGTCGTTTTTCTGTGTGTGTGCATATTTCGGAATACAGAGAGATACTCCAATTCTTATCAACGTCAATTGCCAAATACGAATATTAACATATGTATATATGTAAATATATTATACTTTTATATGCACATACGCAAGTGTATGTACATGTACATATGAGTTTAAGTAAGGTCTTCTGTATATATATATACGTGGTACAAACGTAAATAATTTAAATGCAAACAAGAAAACATTTAAAGATTTTTCTGATTATTATATAAACTTTATGTACATATATCTGTATTCAGAGGTTTTGCTTGATGTTTGGTATATTTGATCAATCTCTCAATAACTGACAGATTCGAGCCATAAGATTTATAAATACGAAATTATTGTTAGCTCTAGGTAAATGTGGGAAACATAAGAGTTTTGATGGCGGCATTCAGCTCTTTTGCTGCTTAAGCAAGAGGACTTTAAGACAATTTTGATATTTTTTAGGCGAAAGATCGAAAATTGAAATGACAATCTAATGGATAAACTTATAGGTAAAAATCTATACAAAACTTGATTACATATGTGATAGTCTCCTATTCTATGTATATTGAAGCAATCCTTAAAGAATCTGCACTTAAAACTGGTCACTTGCGGCTAAAGCTTATCTCTGAAATTCTTTAAGATTTGCAAGGATCGTTAATTGCATTCTTATACAAATTTACTCATTTCATTTAATTTATCGTTGACTCTTTCTATGTGTTAGTGCGCAATCTCTCCTTTTTATACTCTTACTAATTCTGTTATTCTTTGTATTCACCTCTCTCTCTCTCTCTCTCTCTTTCTGTGTCTTAGTCCCTTTCTCAAGTTCCGTGTATCTCTTTCTCTTTCTAGTTATCTTTCACTCTTAATCTTTGTATTTCTAACTTCATCTTGCTTTATAAGTCTGTCCATTTGTCTCTCATACTGTCTATGTTTCTTTCTCTGTCTCTTGTACTCACACACTCTCCCTCTCTCTCTCCCTCTCTCTCTTTCTATGCCTCTCCCGCTTATCAACACACTCTCCCTCTCTCTGTCTTGCTGTCTCTCTCTCTCTTACACAATCACTCTCTATCTGTCACTTACATACACTCTATTTCTTATTCCCTCTGTTTTCTACTTTGTTTCTCCCTGTCTCTCTTCTTCTCATGCTGCGAAGCTTTAGTTCATTAACGTACATATAAATATATAAGCATATAATACACATATGTAATAAAGAATATATTGTTACATAAAGATATGTATGTAGTATAAGAATATATTTAATAGCAAGGCTTATCACCTCTCATATACCCCTAGCATCAGCCGCTCCATTGTTTTATTAATTATGTGATGAGTGTGCTTAGTGGTAAAATAGATGAACAAAGTATTTATGATTCATATTTATTTTGAATATTGTTTTATTTTCGTTCCACATTATCAGTAGTTTCGACTAAAAAACTCATGTTTTTATGAGACTTGTGTCTTTACTTATAATTATAGTTAAAAACTAAAATAAAAAAAATTAAAGTTAACTTAACTATCTGGTTATGGCCATGCCCACGTGTGCCATTGCACGCTCCGCCTCGAATATAGACACAAACTGTGGCTCCAGCGTGGAGAGGGCACGCCGGCTAAGCAGAGCAATGCTCTTGGCCTCGCCATGATCCCGCTCGAAGGCAATGTACTCGATCCAAACGCTTGGCTCTTTCTTCCCAAAGTATGTGGTCATGAATTCGTAGCACATGCGCCACGCCTTAATTGTAGATAAATCCTGTGGAGCAATACAACGATATTGATTAACGATTTCAATTTCAAAAATTTCTCGTCGACTTACTTTCAGTTTGGTACTCTCTATCAGGCTAATCATTTCGCGATGCAGCTGCAGAGACATCGGCGGCTGTTGCGCCAACTTGGCATATTCATCGCGGGCTTTGGCTTGCGAGTGCTCGTGCCAGAGGTAGCGTAAGTAGCTGCAGCGTAGATCGGCGAATTCCGGCCAGGTCTCCTTGCAGGCCTGTGTATAAATGTCATTCAGCTGCCGCTTGGCCTGGTTATCATTGCGCGCCCGATAATAGGCGATCACCATCTGCCAGAGAGATAGGCCGGCGGCGCCCATCGTACGACGCACTTGACTGAACAACTTGTGAACGCTGGGTTCATCGTCGTTCCGAATATGTGCGGATAGTAGCAGCTCGTGCATGCGCAACGACTCATCGTGCTGCAGTGCCTCGGTTAGGATGCGCACACAGGTCTCTCCGCCGTTTTCGTTGCTACCCAATATCATGCTGAGCGTAGCGTAATGCCGGGGATGCATCAGCTTAGAATGATGGCCATCTTGCAGTGCATTCGCCAAGCATTTCTGGATGAATGCGCGCTCGGATTTATGGTTCCTACTTAGCGCCAGCATAGCGTCCAGATATAAGTTCCATATTTCCTGCGTCTGTAGCTGTTGTACTGCCGCCTTGTAGACCTCCACGCACAGTTCGATGCAACGCTTCTTCGAGCGTGTCTGAAAGACTTTCACTTGGGAGTCCGTGCGCGACTTCTTCTCACTCGGCTCAGTGTCATCTTCGTTTTCTGCCATATTCATAAGATCACCTAAGTGATAGCCACGCAGCTCACGCTTCGCCAGTGCATCCCATAGCGAAGGCTCACGTGAAAACTTTGTCTGTATATCCTCAATTATATGGTGCTGTAGCTTGGCAGTAAGCTCTGCATGATCCTCACAGCTCTCGAGCAGCTTCAGAAAGTAATCTAAGTTCGTGATGTTCGCCAGGCTGTTTCGATAGACGGCAACGACACGCTCCATTTGTATATCCTGCTCCGAGACTGTGTTGTCGCCCAAAGTACGTTTGTTGTCCGCCATTGCGGCCTCCTTTAACTGTATATTGAAGAAGCAATTGTTAAGTGACTCAGACGCGGGATGACGTTGGAGGCCACGCAACAGTATATCCTGGACGCGCGGCATATTGGTACGATTATACTCATAAAGCCACAGTGCGGCATTGATCCAAATTTGTGGATCACCACCATGATACTAAAGGAAGAACGATTTATTACAGCTGTTCGAAGTAAATATTTTCTGTTTTTGGCAGACAGCTTACCGAAAGCATCTTCTCGTATATGCCAGCAACTTCCTGTGGCGCTGACTTCTTACTGAACTTGATGAAATTCTCCCACAGACGCTGCTCGTGTCCAAATTTAGCCAACATTTCCCTGTACATTCGCATTATCCGCGTGCAAGTGGAGGCTTTGAGACCAGTCAGCTTTATACCGGCGAGTTTTTCCTTTTCGGTAATTGTTTTATGCATTGTCTTCTCGTATACTATGAATTCCAAATAGTCTGACATAGACTTTTTGTTTTTGGCTATGTTCAGCAGTAAGCGTTCTCGTTTGCGTATACATTCTCTGAAAATTATTGATATATTATCTTCACATTTTATTCACTTGGGTTTAGTCAATTATTACCTGATTTGTTCTGGTCTAAATATTTGATAGTGCTTCATTTGCTCATACTCCGGCAATAGCCGCTCCTGCATTTCTGCAATGAACTCACCCATTTTGACTTTATTCTTTTTAGACCAGCCTACCGTAGCAAATTTGGAATTTTATTTTTTTTCGTTGCCGTGCACGTTGTCTACATGCCGTCCGCAACCAGCTGTTCAGTGTTGTGTTATCGATTGCTGTATGCAGCCCTTGTATTAAATCATTTCGATGACCGAAAGTTTGACATTTCTGTAATTTGGTCACCTAAAACACCAAACAATTTGGAAACTGGTCACTTTTTTCAAACACAAATTTTTTAATTTACAGTAAATAAATAAAAGTTCCAAAAAACACAAAAGCAAATTGCAATGGCCGAATTCTCAGTCGAGCGTGTAGAGGACAAACGCACAGTTAATGGTCGCACAGAATATTACTTAAAGTGGAAGGGGTATCCTCGCAGTGAAAACACTTGGGAGCCGGTCGAAAATTTGGATTGTCCCGATTTAATAGCAACGTTCGAGGAATCCCTAAAAAATAACAAAAAAGAGACTAAAAAACGCCTATCCACATCGTCAACGCCTGAGTCAATACGAAGTAAGCGAAAATCATTCATGGAGGAAGAAACCGACGAACAAAAAAAGTTGATTGGATTTGATCGTGGCTTGGAGCCTTCAAAAATTCTTGGTGCAACCGACTCTTCCGGCTATCTGATGTTTCTGATGAAATGGAAGGGGAGTGATCACGCCGACCTAGTGCCCGCCAAGCTGGCCAACATCAAATGTCCTCAAGTCGTAATTCAATTCTACGAAGAACGTCTAACATGGCACACAGGAAATGGTAATGGAAACGGTAACGGCTCGGGTAGCGCATGTGGCAGCACGCATATTGGGGGAAGCGTTGGAACGCCTGGCAGCACCGCGGACGCAAGTCCAAGCGGCAGCATCAACGATGAAAATATCAAACCTGACGCTGGCACCGATTTAGGGAATGGAGACATCTAGTTGCTTTACCAGAACTTGTTAAGCCAGCAAAAACAACTCCATGTAAAGCCAACATGGGTACACACGGACACTAACACACACACAGAAAAACATGCTCGCTCGCTCCTACATATTTACATACAAATAACATAGACATAATCATATATACATATATAGATATACAGGCATGTTCTTTATTGCATCAACAAAACAAACAAAAGATGTTGGGCGAATTTCTGAAATAAAATAAGCGTACATACAAATATGTAACTTAAATATAAATGGTTCTGCATCCTTAGTCTAGATGAGAGTAGATTTATAAAATCCTTTTTTACAAACATATACAAATAAGATCTGGCAACGCCAGTTGCGGGACCTATCGATAATTCGATAAGTAACGCTCCCAAGCCGGTAAACTAAACTACAATAAAAAAAACTACAAATGCAAATGTTGTAAGCTTAATTCAAAAATAAAAAATTTAAATAATGGCCCAATCAAGCTCGATGAAGCTGCTTGGCGCACGCAACATGAGTTGCATCGTGGAGCGTATGGAGTGGAATAACAAAATGGATCTCATTGCCTATGGCACCGAGAAAGGTTCATCGCGCACTATTTTGTGTCAAGTGTTTTGATCAATCTCTGACTACGGACTTGTTTTGCAGGTGAGGTAATTATACAGCGCCTGAACTGGCAGAAAATTGTCACTTTTCCGACACCTGGTGAGGATGTGCGGGTCCGTTCACTAAGCTGGCAAATGGATGAGACTCTGCTAGCAGTCGGCTATAGCAATGGAAAGGTTGCACTACTCGATGCCGAAAGCGAGACAATAATATCCGGCCTAATCTACGAAGATGACATCAAGAAGGTCTACTTCAGCAAAGCGATCAATTGCAAGGAAGGCCTTGACAGCTACACATGTAATGCCAAGGACAAGCACAAACGGTATTTGCCGAAACTGCCTCCGCTGACTAATATCGATCCTTGCCTGAAGACACTCGATCAGAAGTCATTTCCCAAGGGCTCACCCTGTTTCTTGGTTGTTATTATGCGTAGCGGTAAAGTGCATTTACTGCTCCTTGGCGCCTTGCAAGCAGGAAGCATAGATCTCACACAACATGTACTCAATCCGGATCAATTCGATGTGTACGATGTACGGCTGAATGGGGACTTTAATGCCATTTATGCTTTGCTCCGCGACGGCCAACAGCTGAAGCTGCTGCATTTTCATAATCAAGTACTGCAGGATTGCATCTCGCCCATGTTGGAGTTGGCTTCCCACTGTGCCCACATTCTAGAGACCAAAAAGTAAGTTTGCGCTTTGAAATGGTTAATGAGTAATATATTTTCGACAACTAATTACATCATCGTTGCATCAGTTACATCAACGACACGCAGCAATGCCTAACGGAGGCTTGGGAAACGGTACAACTTGAAATGGACAACAAGCTGACCAAGTACGCCAATTCTCAGGCTTATGGCATGATTTCAGCGCACTTTTTGGAGCTGCTCGTATTCGGCTATGCCACATTGGAGGTCGAGGAGTTTCTGTTCGAGTGAGTTAAGTCCCTATACTCAGTATACAGTGCTCATGGGCTCCGCCACTTTGTTCTTTTATTTTCATAACAACAGAACGCTAACGGAGAAGGGCTTCAAGAAAATAGCCAACTCTGTGGATCTATCCCTGAATAATCTTCAGGGCCTAGTCTTTAAGCAGCTAAACGGTGCCGCCATTAACATGTTCTACTTTCTCAACACGATTGCGGGCTTTGGACGCATGACGCATTTCTTCGAGGTTGGTCGTAGATGACACAAATAAGTTTTTCACAATTAATACTCTTTCTTCTTAGGCACTCATCTCACCAGATGTCGCCAGCGAGGCAATGCGTGCCTGCGGCTCCTTTTTGCTTAAAGTACATGAACTGCAGCGCACGATTGACACATTAGTATATGACATGAAGCTGTTCCATTCATGGATTATATTCACTATACTGCGTCTGTCCCATCAAGAGATACCCGATGATATGGTCTTTACCGGCAAGGAGAATGTTGCGCTGGCTGAGTTCTTTTGCGCCATGGAACCGGAAATACCTGAACCAAACGAAAGTGGGGACATCAGCGACGATAAATCAGCAACGGCGTCTGCAACCACAGGAGAGGAGGGTCTTTTGGGCGACGTAAGTTCCACTCCAATCACGCGCAGTAAATTCAATTTGGAACGCGTGGGACAATATCTGGAAAATTCATATTTGACCCAGCTGCATACTGCCAACCCATCGGAAGTTTGGCCACGCCTGCTGGCCGAAAATGAGTGCCTAGCTCAGTGCAACCTGCTTGTGCCTCATGATAAAAAGCTTTCGCTGCTGCAGCAGCGCGACAAAATGTTTAATGCCATTGATGCAGTATTCCACAAGCCCACAGAGAGCATTAGTGCCAGCTTCAAACTTAGCACGACTGTGATATGTGGCGATCTACAACAGTTACATGCTGAATCTGCGGCTGAGCCGGATCAGCAATCGACTTATGATTTTGTGAATTGCAGCTATTATGTACACGAGGCAACCAAATGTGATATGCTGGCATTAACAATCGGCTTGCACGAGGCGATGGTGCTGGAGTTCAGTCGAGGCGAGGACTGTATGTTGCGCTGCATTCGTGTGCGGCTGCAGCCTGGTCCAATTACGTCTCAGCTGCAGGAGGACTACTACAATCTGCGGTTTGTCGATCTACAGTTCTACAACGAATCCTCACTTTCGATGCTGGTGCAGACGTTAACATCCGCAACAGGTGTACGCCCACACAGTTACTTTTTGCAGTTCTCGTTGAGCGCCGCAAGAAATCACTGCACTCAGCATCAATTGGCGCCACTAATTAAACTGACAGAGGCGACGATGACGCACAGTGTACACGATATACCGGAAGCGGCCGCATTTAAGGCCCTGGACGGAGTCTGCGAAATGCTGGCCGTCTCTGGCAGTCGCAAGGTAGCCACCGTTCTCTCCGATCGCCGGCGCAAGATGACAATATTTGAAATGGAAATCGAGGAGGAAGAGGACGATACGGAAATGTCACAAACATCGTTCTTAGAGATCAGCAAGGAATCTGTACTGGCTACCGGATCCAACGAAGCGGAGAAATTGGGAGAAACGTAGTAATACCCAGCCAGCAAAGATTGAACTTGAAATGTCAATTTTTCGGCATAATTGGCACATGACTGTAGTTGAAATGACTCGGGTTTGACTTTCATAACTTGTCGCCTCATTTGTCTTTTTTTGTTTCAACTCTTTACTTAGCAAAGAAATATTTAGGTATATTATAATTATAAAATACATTTATGTACAAAACAGAAAACAAGCGGTTCACGGACCACGTGTTGAGTCTAAATTAAATTTCATGCAACGAAATGCCGAAAATCCAATTTTGAGCCACAAAAATGTAAATTAATTAATCATTAAAGCCCTACACACAGACACGCCAAATATAAAAAATAGAAAAAGAAAAGGAAAATGAAATGATTTTTGGCAATCGTTTCGAGTGAGAGAAAACTAGTGCTTAATTGTTAGAGTTCTGATACAAAGAGAAATAAAATTAAAAACCATTAAACATAACAATTTAACTTAGTTCAAATAGGGTAGAAGCTGGATAATGCCTTGGCATGATAGTATATAGAAATACATATATTCATTCATATCCAGCTGATCTATGACCCTTCTCGCTCTGACAAAAGTTAGGCCAATTTGGTTTTTGGCTGCGATATGAATTAGATTGATTGAGGACGAAGTGTCTCTGGGGCATGGGCTGAGGCTAAGGTAATGCAATGAGCAGCCGAACTAACTGATTTCATATTGATATGCATCATCAGAGTCCTCGTCGCTGGACATATCGCGTTTGCGTCGCCGTTGCTCACGTTTGCTCAGCTTTTTGGCTGGCGGTGCAGCCGCAGGAGCAGGAGCGACATCAGGAGTCTCCGCTGCTGTTCGCTCTACGCCTTCCTTCTCCTCGCCGTCAATGTTCGACTCTCCTTCCGCCCCTTCAACCTCGGCCTTCTTCTGTGTTTTGACCAGTTCGCACAAGTATTTATAGCGCACTAAGCACTCCTCCTTGGTCTTTTCTGGTACACTGTTAGCAATCTTTACCCAACGATCGCCGCCGGCAGTTTTTCGGTATTTAACAATGGCCGCTTCGAGAGCACGCTGCTGATCCTGAGTCCAGTTAGTCTCCGGTACAAGCATGCTCTTCTCATTTACGGTTGGCGCCACCTTCTTAACTTTCTCCTTGCGGACTGCCTCCTGTGACTCCTGGACTATGTGTTCGGCAACGCTATCCGTTTGGCCAGGTATACGGTAGCCGTTCTCCTTCATCTTGGCCGCCATGAATGTCACCTCTTGTACGCTGCGGTTCATAGACTCGGCTATGGTGTTCCAGCGACTGCCAGCACCGCCTGGATATTTTTTAACTAACCTAATTAGTTCAGTAAGATCCTCATCGGTCCAAAAGCCGCCGCTGACCGTGCTCTTTAAGCATAGTTTACAAATAAACAAATTTACATTATAAAATGGATTACAAAAGGTTGATGATATTTGATGGTCATACCTTTTGGGTAGCTGGGCGTATTGCATCTTCTTCTGTTAGCTCTCGTGCCTGGATTTGTGAATAGCCACGTAACTCCTCCTCGGTCTTCTCAGGTGCCTTTGCGTTCTGCTTCCGCTTACGTAAATTCTCCTTCTGCTCTTTACGTAGACGCACCTGCTCTTCGGCTTCACGCTCCTGTTCCTCCAGACGACGTGCCTCTTCGATTTCTCTGAAATCATTATTAAATATGTCATGATGTCGTTGCCGTCATCCTTTATTTACTTACAATCGGCGCTTCTCCAACGCCAGCTCCTTGAGCTTATTGGCTTTGCTAAATCCATTCTTAATTGTTCTAGGCAAATGCCAAATGGCGACTGGTATTTGAATTGGCAGCGTATTGAGGAGCGAAGGCATCGGGATCTCGTTCAGAATGACGTCCATATCAATGTTTTTGTTGCGTTTCTGCAGCTTCTTTAGTTTGGAGCCAAATACTAGCTCAGCAGTGTACTTTGTCTCCAGATAGGCTGCCCATGCGAACAGATACTGGCCCACGGTTATGATAAGGAAAATTATGAAGGCGCCCTCATACAGGCCAATCTTACGCATTCGGCGATAGTAGTAGAGGGCGGACTTCCAGTTGGGCATGCCATCGCGCAATACCTTGTCGTATTTTTCACGCTTAGAAGCATCCTTGAGTACCTCGTAGATGGAGACGAGGTTGCGAAACTGGATGTTGGCATCTTCAGCAGGATTCTTGTCGGGATGCAGCACAATGGAGAGTGTGCGAAAAGCGCGCTTGATTTCATTGTTCGTGGCAGTCTGATTGATGCCCATAAATTCATAGAAGTTCTTGTTGACCTCTTCGACCAGGTCGAAAATCTCCAGCTCCTCGGAGTGCCAGGCGTTGGATGAGCCGCACAATAACAGTAGCCCAAATAATATCGCTGGCAGTGTTGTTTTGTTGTGCAACTCCATTTAAATGCTTAAAAAATCAACTTAAAACGGAAAAGCGGCAGACCCCCGCACGGTTACACATACACACGCACTCAGGCATTCGGGCACGACTCACGACGAACTGTCAACGTCAAAAGTGGCAACGTCAGCAGTAAACAAAAACAATACATGTCAAAGTTGCCACATCGATCACTACCAGGGTGGTGCTGTGAGAAATATTTTCAAATAAGTAATAAAAATATGTATCATAGCTAATAAATTTGAGTGCATTTTAACCTATGTTCATAATATAAAGTCTATTTAACAATTGACATAATGCAAATGTCCGTTAAAGTTAAAGCTAGCGATAAGTGCATATGCAACCATGCAAAATAACACAGGCTTGTTAAATGGTAGCGATATATCGCATAGAAAACATTGCTAATAGCAGCCACACACAACCTAGCACTATAAGATTTGCAAAAGACGAAAACAGTGAAAGCGGTGTGAAAAAAGCAGGCGAACAGAGATAAGAAACAAAATACAAAAGTCAACGCAAGCAGCAGCGGCGCAGCGTCAACTCAGCGCTAGCCGCTGGGGCTGGTTTTAAATGGATTAAGCGTTGCTCGCACAACCAGATAACAATACACCAGGGGGAAACGAAGCGAACCACTGACCGGACCGGAGCAGAGTGGAGCCATGTCTTCGGCCGTCAACATACAAATCGTATCAATGCCGAATTTGGCCAAAATCGAGAGCTTTTTTAAGGATGTCAGCTATCGCGAAACGATCGAATACAGCGCCAATTTCAACACACGCCTGTGCATCGAACGGCGATTGCGACTGCCATTCCTCGATCCACAAACGGGCGTTGCACAGAATCACTCACAGCTGTTCATGGACAAGCGACAGCGGATGCCTGGCTTTCGCCAGGGCCAGATCTACACGTATCCTGCGGCACGTTGGCGCAAAAGTCGCCGCCAGTACTTGACGAAGATGTACAGGTTAGTAATTATTCGTGTCCATGTTATTCTCATACCTGAATCTAAGATCTACTCCAACGCAAACTTATAGCCGGTTCCCCGAGCGGCCTTTTCAGGCGCTGCGTAAGGAACACGAAGCGCTAGTGGCTAGTGGTATTAATATTGGCGGAGCTGGTATCAGCGGCACCGCTAGCATAGCCAGCACCAACAGCAGCAGTTCAACGCTAAGCCTTAATATGCTGACGGGTGGAGGCGCTTCGACAACGCCGACAGTGCTGAGTACGCTGCACAATGATACAACACATGACTTTAACGGGGCGTTCAGCATGGAGGAGTCCTGCTCGCTGGGCGCCGCCGGCGGTGACACATCCGATAGCAAAGACAGTCAATTGCAAACGCAGCAGCAGCAACAACAGCAGCAGCATCAATCAAAAGATGATTTGCCCAAGGAGTGGTTCTATGATGAAATGGACATGAATGATGTAGATTCGCTGGAGGATCCAAAATCTCCAGCAGACGATGAATACGACTACGATCCGCGATATGGTAATAAAAAACGACGCAAACGCAGACCGGGCAAACGTGGAACGACACATGCCAGCAGCGAAACTGCCACCACTAGCAACAGCAACAGCGCGCGCCGACGCACCGCTGTAACGCGAACGCGTGTCACTACCACAGATGCGGCGCTGGATGCGTCACTGGAAGCGATTGAGGCGGGCGACATTGGCGGCACACCGACATCGAGCGGTGGGCGCAGATCTCGCGGAGCTGGCACACGGGGCAGGCGACGTGCCAAAGGTACCCCTACAGGCAACACCACCACTAGCGCCAGTGGCATGCCCAGCAATACATGTGATCCGCCCAGTCCGGGCTTGGTTAAGGAGCCGCCATCGTTCGAGAGTGCCGCTGCTGCCGTTGGCGTGGGTGGCGTTGGCGTTGAGGATGGCAATGCGCATTTGCGCAATTATCGCAAGTATCTGTAACGCTAGGATCACCCCATGTAGGTGGCATTTTGTATGGACCACATTCACCCACTACCTAAACTACCTATCAATCTATCTAATTAACTGTTTATCGCATTCGATTCTTAAACGGTGATTTACTATTTTTCAACATATTTGTAATTTAAAGTTAGTGTAAGACTTAGTTTTTATTAGTTCCTTATTCGAGTCCAGCACCTGACTAGACCAGACCAGACCAGACCAGACAAACCAGGACAAAACCACCAAAATATATCCAACCAGGCGTAGCAAAATTTTAATTCTACTGGTAACTCTGTCGCCTATCTAATTGTACGTTCCCATAGCCAATTTATTGTTGATAAACTATATATATATATACACATACACACATATACATCCAATACATACATATTATTTATATATATTTATATATATATAATGCCACTTTACTTAAACAAAAATATGAAGAAAGGAAGCGGCCAAATTGCTAACAATTTTCAAAAGGTTTTTGTTGCCGCCATATTCAGTTTTTTCCAACTTAATTTTGTTTTTTTTTTTCGTTGTTTATTTCGTTTATTTAATTAAATATTATTAAGTTAAAGTTTGAAATTAATTGGCTTCTTGTATTCTTAGGCAGTGTGGTAGGGTTTTAGGGTTTCAGTCCAGTCCAGCGCAACAAAAACAATTTCGTAAACCAAAATTTTTTCTATAGGAATAGTATATTTCATAAGGAAGAGAGAAAGCTGAAATACAAAATAAACAAAAATAAGAAAACTGTGTACATTTTGAAAATCAAAGACAAACGTTCTAATAAAATTGAAAAGGAAGAAAATAAAAACCATAATTTTATAAACCTTTGGAAGGCTTTTAGACAAATTTTTGAAGTTATTTAGATCTGGACTATACATGCTTTTTTATATGTACGTACACCTATATGTGTATATATAGAGTATACAGCAACCATCAAAACTTGGCTGAAGAAATACAAATTTGTACGAATAAAAAACATGAGATATTTATATGTATATAAAACTCGTAATTATAAATCAATTTTCAACAGATCTCTATATTGTTTTTGTCTATTCGAATCCAACTTATAAACAACAAACATTGAGAAACTTAAGTATAACAATTCATTATTTGGAAACAATATATTTTTTATGTATGTATATATACGATGAGCTCTTTCAATGCTCTATATTTAATAGAATTTTATTCGATAAAAATCAATCAGTAATCATTTTCATTATTTATCTTAATGTGATCTTAAGCGATTCGCATAGTAGATGACGTCACAAAATCTTTCAGCATTCAGGCAAAAGTTTCACAGTGAACAGCTCCTGTTCGGGGTTTACCGTTCAATGATCATATGGCGCTATTGCTGAAAAACTATCGATGCCAACCACCTACACGATGCAAAATCACATTATTTGGATTCTGATGGCTTTGGCGATTTATTGGTTGCAGACTTTGCACGTTTTGGCAAACTGGGTGAGGCTGTTGGAGATGACGATGATGGGCGTTTGCGTTTGTTCGTTTTCTCTGCATGATCGTTGAACGCCTCAATTATTTGCTTATATATTTCATTGACATTGGGAAACTTTTGAGCACGCGGTGTGCGTTTCAGACCGGACCAAATGGGCAGCTGTTCGTTAGCAACTCTTGTGGGATGTGGGGCGAAGGACAATTCGAACGCTCCGCGTCTGGGTGCTCCCTGGCTATTTAGTTGCAATTGAAGTTGGAAAAGATGGCCCTCATCTTGAATTTTACTTTGCAGAGCAGCATGTAACTCCTCGGCGCGACGACGAAACACTCGTCAAGAGCGACAGTGCTCAATATAAAGCACAGGATTATTAGGATCCAGTGCCTTGGACTCCTCGCTTGTTGTCGACGACTGTGTGTGATATATACGTGAATGTTAATGTTTATAATAACGTATAAATAATAACACTTACAGGTTTAGGAGCAGCCTTCTTACCACGCTTTGGCGGCATTTTAATGTATAAACTGTCTTTTAAAGGAAATGCGCGCTAGGAATATTGAGTATAATTGTATCGATATATCGATGTATTGTTGTTGTGAATAATTTTATAGCTACATAAATTTGTTTAAAAACTAGTGAATAGCAATCGATAACTATTTAAGCAATATAAAACAATTAAACATGCATATCGATAGTACAATGTCTGGCAACGCTACCCTACATATTTAGTTTTTATTTGCTATATATTCTTGAGTTAAACAATTAAAATTGGAGCAAGTGTTTAAACAAATGCGAAAGAAGAAGAAAAAGATCTGGATCTGAGTCCATTAGTAGTTTTATTCTAAGTGAGTATTCTGGCTGCGCTCCAAACTTAATTGAAAAATAACTGTATTGGAATAATTAGTAAATTTAACAATATTATGCTAGCATTTAACCTGTGTGCGCCGGCTAAATCAAAGTGCCTGTACATTGATTTTGGCGCCAACTAAAATCAATGGACGAATCAACATCAAACAAAACTACAAAAACGCCGGCTAAATCAACGACGCCGCGCAAACGTCTCGGCCGCCCTCCGAAGAACAGCCCACTGCCGACTGCAATGAGTGTGTGGGCTGAAAGGCCAGCCGAGGAATTGGGGGCGGAGAACTTAGCAGAACGCGTGCTTACACTGTCGCCTACATTAGGCGACTGCCGACGCAGCTCTCGTAAGAAAGTAATTAAGTTTGATGTTCGGGATTTGCTCAATAAAAACCGAAAGGCAAACAAATTACAAATTGAAGCTCGAACTGATTGCACTCTGTCAGCAACGGCAACGACAATATCACTTGGCGTACTCGACGTTAACTCGGCAACGCCAGCAGCAACTGCAGCTCTTCCATTGGCAACTGGATCGCCACCGCAAACTTCGGCTGACCTGTTTGCCAAGCCGAAGCCAACACAGTTCTTAATTCTTGACCAAGCATGCAGCGAGGAGCCGCACTTAGCAAAGAAGCAAAGTGATGGAGAAGCACCACTTCAAGTTAATGCAATACCGAAACAACAGAGACGTGGACGGCCCCGTAAGTCACAGACAGCGTCGGCGGCACAAGATGTAATCGGAAGCAGTCCTGGAATTGCTTGCAGTATCAGCTGCTCTGACTCGGATACCAATTCAACCACTGCCAGCGGTGAGAGCGATGCCTGCGGCGAGAATTCGCTGAAAATAACATTCAAAAGCAAGCTGCGTGTCGCCCTTAAACGCATGCCTATGCCATCGAGCCGAGAATCCTCTGACTCCGGTGAATCCTTAAAAGAATCTTCATCGGAGTTAGCTGCCTTGCTACCAGTTCATGAACTGAATGAACCAAAGCCACTAGAAATTACCGAAACGCCCACGGATACAGGAATAAATATGAAGACTGATACAATAATTGAGCTCCCAGCTAATGAGGTTGACTCCCATTCACAAGAATTATTTCTAGAAGAAAAAACACCTACTGAAAATAATAAAACAATTGTCAATGCTAAGCAGATGCCAGCTAATAATAATAATGAGATATTACTCAAAAATGAAGAGGACCAGCAGCCTCAGCCTCAGCATCAGTTGAAGTCTGACATTGAGTCGGCGTTAAGTGTCCCAAGCGCCGGAGCTGATAAGCAACTGCAACAGCTGGATCCACAAAGCTTAGGAGAAAAGAGCATAGAGAAGGAGCAATTGGCACAGGGGAACTGTGTTGTATTGACGGTGTCTTCAACGCAGCGGCGTAGCAAACGCTCCAGTTTGCGTGGCACTACGCGTAGTACAAACGGTTGCAAAATGACGCTTGAAGAAACATTTGCCGAAATCGCAGCTGCTAGCTCCAAAATAATCCTGGAGAGTGAATCATCAGACCAGAAATCACAGCAGCAGCAGATACAGCCGGATCCAACCATTGATCTCATTGAAAAGAATAGAATAGAATTGGGATTACTGCCGCAATTGGATGCTAATTTGGAATTGAATTCGGAAACCCAACAAGTGTCTAACTGTGACATCCAATCAGAGAACTCTATTGACGTCCGATTGGAATGCTTTGCCTTGAGCCCTAAGCTAGAACCAGAGCAAGCGACGACTGACGGCTCAATTGATCTCCCCACTGAGCTGCCTGATCAGCAAACGGAAGATATTAACACTTCAGAACAGCAGCGCTCATCTGATAATCTTGCCACCGCAATAAAGGAATCACATTCATCAATTTCCAACTCTTCACTTCCGATCGTGATCGACACAGCGCTCTGTATAGAGACATCGTTAAGTCCATTAGAAGCTGAGCCCCAGCTGGAAACTGCCGTCATGCACAAGGAAGAAAAAAAGTCTAGTCTAAGTCCCATTGCTACCGCCTGTTCCAATGTTGCTGGAAAAACCAATCCAGAACAGGAAAAACCTGCCAGACCGCCTAGCATTTCTATTGTCGAGTGCGATGCGCTCTTCAAGGCAATGGACAAGGCTAGCGCTCAGATGCGTCAGGAAGAGAAAACTAAGAAGAAACTTAAACTAGAGAAACAAACAGCCAAGCTGGAACAGGACCTGGAAAGCCACAGCAACAGTAACGCAGCAGCTGCCAAAAAGCAGCTGTCAAAGAAGCATACTCGTCGCTATACCATCTGCGAAGATCGTGCCGAGCACTTTACCGGGAAACAACGCAGCTTGCAGACTGCATCCAAGGCCTTGCAGGCCAGTCCCGAACACGACCCCTTGTCCAAGGCAAAGACGAAAAACGTGTTACGCAAGGGTGTCTCAGGGTCTAAGCGGGTGTCTAGCAGCCTCAACTGCCAGGATTCAATGGACTCCAGTTCAAGCGCATCGCAATGCGCTTTTAGGCGCAAATCTGGCAAAGTCAGCGATGCATTGAATTCGGCGCTTGCTGAAACTGAATCTTCTGAGTCCATCAGTTCCGGCAGCAAAGCGACTAGTTGTGGCATACCAACGCCCACAGCTGAACTCGACACATCCAATTCATTGACAGACATTGCCCAATTCATAGATAATGGCGTTAAGCTGCGCGAGCGCACTGACAAGCTGGACGGTTGGCAGGAGCTGTGTGAAGATGATTATGCGCACCGCGTTGCAAATATAGAGACGCCGGCCACGACGCCCTCCACGTCGCCGCAACCAAGCAATAGCACCAGCTACTCGGAGGATGCGTCTAGCAATGTCAACGCAGTGCGGCGCTCGCATCGCATCAAGCAAAAGCCGCAGCTGCCCAGAGCCAGCGTGAGTCGTAACAGCAACAGCAGCAGCAGCAGCAACAGCAACGCCAACAGCAACCAGACGTCCGCCTCCATCAGCATGGAGGAGCAGCTGGCCGAGTTGGCGCACGTCGATGCCATCAACGAGCAGTTCTTGCGCCAGGAGGGTCTTAATACGTTTCAGTCGTTGCGCGACAATTATTACCGTTGCGCCCGTCAGGTTAGCCAAGAGAATGCTGAAATGCAATGCGATTGCTTCCTGACCGGCGACGAGGAGGCCATGGGGCATTTATGCTGCGGTGCCGGCTGCATTAATCGAATGCTAATGATCGAGTGCGGACCGCTGTGCACCTATGGCGAACGTTGCACCAACAAACGGTTCCAGCAGCACCAGTGCTGGCCCTGCCGTGTCTTTCGCACCGAAAAGAAGGGCTGTGGCATTACAGCCGAGCTGCAGATTCCGCCAGGCGAGTTCATTATGGAATATGTGGGCGAGGTGATAGACAGCGAGGAGTTTGAGCGCCGACAACATCTCTATTCGCGCGACCGCAATCGCCACTATTACTTTATGGCACTGAGAGGTGAGGCGATCATCGATGCGACCGCCAAGGGCAATATTTCACGGTACATCAACCACAGTTGTGATCCAAATGCAGAGACGCAAAAGTGGACGGTGAACGGAGAGTTACGCATTGGTTTCTTCAGCGTTAAGACAATCATGGCTGGCGAGGAGATCACCTTTGATTATCAATATCAGCGCTATGGACGTGATGCTCAGCGCTGCTACTGTGAGGCGGCCAATTGCCGCGGCTGGATTGGCGGCGAGCCGGACTCTGATGAGGGTGAGCAACTGGATGCAGAGAGTGACAGTGAAATGGAATACTTGACTGAAGAGCTCGATGAGCAGGAGCAGGGACAAGGACAGGGATCGGAAGCTGACAAGAAGTTACACAAAACCAGAGCAACCAAGCTCATCAAGTCAAAGCCAAGCAAGTCATCAAAGGTGCCGACTGCGGCGCGCAAGAAGCAGTCTAAGCCTAAGGATCGCGAATACAAGGCCGGACGTTGGCTACGTCCATCGGGTAGCGGCAGTGGCGAGAAGTCCGCCGCGCGCAAGCCCGACAAGCTGGAAGATCCGGATGTGCTAGAACAGCTGCGTTTGCTTAATCGCAGCGGGCTCAAGAATCAAGCGGACACGCTGAGCTTCTCGCGCTGCATGGTGCGTGCCAAGCTGCTGGAGACTCGGCTCCAGTTATTGGGAGTTCTCACGCGTGGCGAGTTGCCTTGCCGCCGACTTTTCCTCGACTACCATGGCCTACGACTGCTACATGCCTGGATCAGCGAGAGCGGCAATGACAATCAGCTGCGGCTGGCACTGATTGAGGCTCTGGAATCGCTGCCCATACCAAATAGGACAATGCTCAACGATAGTCGCGTCTATCAGAGCGTGCAGCTCTGGAGCACCAGCTTAACTGATGAGCAGGCCAAAGAACCAACAGCTACCACACAGCAGCAATCAGAGCCAACGCCGGAGCTGGATGCAGTCCGTCAACGTATGGTGGCGTTGCTGCAAAAATGGAGTGCTCTACCCGAAATCTTTCGGATACCCAAGCGTGAACGTATCGAGCAGATGAAGGAACACGAGCGCGAGGCGGATCGCCAACAGCAGACGCATTACGCGGCCACTGCGCTGGAGGACAGCAACAGCAATAGCGCCTCCTCCACGCTAAACAGTGATCGCTACAGGCAGGATCGCTTCAGGCGTGATACCAGCAATCGCTACGAGAAGCCTAAGCAAACACGCGTGATAGGCAACAATACCATTTGCACCACATCCGCGCAGCTGAAGGAGCGAAATGGAAACTGTGATGCTAGCTTAGGCATCAGCCAGGGCATAGTCAACTTGGATCCACGTCGGCGATCCGATGATACGCGCCGCACCATTTTCAAAAAGCTACGACGTTCACTATTTGAACAAAAGGTATGTACAGGTGTAGGTATAGGTGACAGCCCAAGCCAACCGACTAGGCAATACTCTACCAATAGAAAACGTGATCAGTAAAAACATATCGAGACTGGACTGCTTATAGTATACATTTCATTTCTTTTAGGTGGCGCAGGACGAGGCGGAGAAGCGTGTGTACAACGTGGATAGACGCGAGCATGAGCTGCGCTGCGAATACTTTGGCGCTAATCTAGGCACCGATCCTAAGCAGCTACCGTATTACCAGGACACAGAGACCAACGAATGGTTTAATAGTGACAATGTGCCGGTTGCCGGGCCACTGCGTTGCGGCAATGCAAGTGACGTCTTCAACGAACAGCAATCGCCGGAGAGCGGCGATGATGTGGAATATAGATTGCCAGCCAGCGTGGAACCATTACCGCCTTCGTGGCATTGGAGTCTCACGGCCGACGGCATCATCTATTATTATAATTTGCGGGATCGAATCTCGCAGTGGGAGCCGCCAAATTCACAGCAGCGCATGCAACAGTTAATCGACGATTCCCCGGTGCCGGAGCAAACATCCGACAATCAACTGCTTGCGGACGAGCTGGTCAATATTGATGTTGACTATGTGGGCAGCCTGAGTGATAAGTCGCTAGCACAGTATATTGAAGCGAAGGTTCAAGAACGTCGAGAACTACGCCGCAATCGACTTGTCTCGATCTGCGTGATCAGTCCGCGACGCGAGGAGGATCGCATCTACAATCAGCTGGAGTCGCGCAAGTATAAGGATAACAAGGAGAAAATTCGACGTCGTAAAGAGATCTTTCGCCGCACACAGGCCGAGGCCAGCAATGTGGAACCAGTTGGAGCAATCCAGGCCAACGATATGGTGCCCATTCAGGGCTATTTGTACTCATCCGATGAAGAACTTGTCCCGAACGCTGCCAGCGTAGTGCTTAACTGTGCTGCCCAACCATTGATCGATATCATTGTCGACGGCATCAGGGATACGCATGTGGACGAGCTTGTGGCGCTCAATCCCAGCAGCAACTACAAAATAGGAACACTGTCTGTGGAGTCAAGCAACATCATAGCAGGGCCAACATTGAGCGACTCAGATGCAGATGTCCTGGTTAACACAAAGCGTAAACTGCCCATGCCACCGCAACTAACTGAGAGCAAAAAGAAGCATCGTGGTGAGCGCGAAAAGAAACGGAAAACGTGAGCACAACTCCTCCAGAACCATGTTGGCTCGAATCCAATCATTAATTTGAAATATTTTTTAGGCCACTTATCAATACATCCAGCGGCCGCGATGCATGCGAAAAGTTTCGCTTTGAGATAAGCGGCCATGTGGCCGAGTTCCTGCGTCCATTCCGTAAGAATAACTGCCAGCTGGGTCGCATTGCCAGCGATGAGGACTACAAGTTTCTTATTAAACGAGTAAGTAACACAGAAGAAAGGGTATTAAGAGACAAGTCTAGTAATGTGAGTGTTATTCAAAATATATTTTAGCTGAGCCACCACATAACGACCAAAGAGATGAGATACTGTGACTCAAACGGAAATCCACTGGCCTGCACTGAATCAGTTAAGAATAAGTCATATGAATTTATCAATCAGTATATGCGAAAGAAGGGCCGCGTGTACAAGAAGCCAGCCGATGAACCCGACTATTAATTATCAGTATCAGCAATATTGAGGTACATTGTAGAGTTAGGCAAAGTTCTAGCAAATCGAACAGCGAATGTTTTCTACTTTTATTTCATGTTTTAAAATGCTTCTACCCGATGTTTGGGTATAAAATTACTTAATTTCATTATTATTTTATTAGTCATTCGCAGCAATTCAACAGACAATAAATTGCTAAGGAAAAACTACGAGCTTTTCTCGTTACTAAACACGAAATAAAAAAATCTATTTTCAAATATTTTAATATTACATATTTTCATCTCGATCAACTACTTGACTAGGCTCAATTCTTAATGAATTGGAGTAAAATAAAAACAAGAATTGGATAGGTGAAATCGGAAACTAATACATTTTTAATTCAGTTAATAATTTAAAGCAATACACAGAAGTGGAGCACACATGTGTGTGTGGTTTTGTAACTGGTTAAATTAAGGCTCGTCTATTGTTGGGCGGACTGCTTTATATCGGCTGCATTAGCTGCGGGTGTGCGATTCGCTTCCTCAGGTTTCATGGCAGGGAATAACAGCACCTCCTGAAAAAACCACAATATTAGAGAATGAAAACCAACCGGTTGGTTGAAACTTCTGATTGGTACAAACCTTAATGTTGTTTGAGTCGGTCAGGAACATGGCTAATCGATCAATGCCCATACCCCAGCCACCGGTGGGTGGTAGACCATATTCTAGCGCTGTACAGAAGTTCTCATCAACCATTTGAGCTTCGTCATCACCAGCGGCTTTGTCGCCAGCTTGTTGCTCGAAACGTTCGCGCTGCACCACGGGATCGTTTAGTTCTGTGTACGCATTGCACACCTCTTTTTTGGCCACAAAGAGTTCAAAACGCTCTGTGAGCCCAGGCACACTTCGATGGTACTTGGCTAACGGGGACATTATTTGCGGATGCTCGCAAATGAATGTCGGATTAAGGCATGTCTCTTCAATGAATTCGCCGACCAGTTTGTCTAGAAGACGGGCGGTGGTGCGTGGCGCTGGACACTCCACCTGATGTTTAGCACACAATTGGGACAGAAATTCGTTGGTAGCCGGACTGTTGAATGTGTCCGCTGATGGAAACTTGACCTGCAGAGTCTCCTCGAGAGTCTTGATCATCGAAACACGCTTGAATGGTGGCGTAAAGTCAATCTCTTGCTCGACACCCTCGGGACCATCAGGATGGTATTTAATTTTGTAGGAGCCGTGAATGGCCATAACCATACCAGATATCATTTGCTCAGTAATCTCAATCAAATCATAATAATCGGCATATGCCATGTAAAATTCGCAAGTGGTGAATTCAGGATTGTGGGTCAAATCGATGCCCTCGTTGCGGAACTGGCGACCAATCTCGTAAACCCGATCCAGACCGCCAACGACGACCATTTTGTGATACAACTCTGGTGCTATACGCATAAACAAATCCATTTTAAGTTCGTTGTGATGCGTGACGAAGGGCTTGGCTGTGGCGCCACCAGCAATCATGTTCATCATTGGTGTCTCAATCTCAAGGAAGCCCATGCGATCTAGAAATTGGCGGACATATGATATTATCTGTGTAAGAAGAAGTTTCATTAATATAAATACTACACGACTATCAATGTATTTGCTACGAACCTTTGCGCGAATCTGGAAATTTTCACGCACTTTGTTGTTTAGTATTAGGTCAAGATAGCGCTGGCGGTAGCGCGTCTCCTTGTCTTTGAGCCCAAAGTGCAGATGGGGCAGCATGTGCAAACAGGGGGAGAGGAGTTTAAGCTCAGTGGGCATAATGGATAGTTCTCCCTTCTTGGTCTTGCCGGGATGACCATTGACACCAATAATATCGCCACGGCGCAGCTTGGCCGTGTCTTGTTCAAAGGCCGCTTCACTTTTGTATGATTTAGCACTGGCCATTACTTGCAACTTGACGCCCTCACCGCGCAAATCGTAAAAAATGAGCTTAGCCCCGGACTCACGAATGGCGTGAATACGTCCAGCAACACTCAAATTGACCTGGTCGAGAGTCTCGCCATCGTTGAGCTGGGCATATTGCTCAATAAACTTTTCAAGGGAAAGGCTGACATGGAATTTGTGTGGATACGGATGGTTTTCAGATGTTTGCTTTAAATCAGCGACGGCAGCTGATCTGAGCTTAAAGTATTCATTGGGAGAGATATCCTCTTCCAACTCAGCGGAAGATTTTTTCTTTTGACCGGCTTCTGGAGTCTCAGTAGCTAAGCGAGTTGCCTCCTTCTCAGCCTTTTCCTTGGCCTTCTGTTCCGCTTTCAGACGACGTTTCAGCTCACTGAAAAAATTACAATCAGATCAATTGCATCTGGGCGAGTTATGGTTACCAACAGTTTTGTTCGCTTGCTTGGGACCAGCTGCATGTTGGTCACATGGTATATTCTCGTAGCTGTCACCATTGGTTGTTTTAGTGATGACATATACATTAACTGTCTTACTATCTTTCGTGCTATCATTTTGCAGACGTTATTGTTATAAATTATCCTATTTTTAACTTATCTATCAGCCGCTTTCTACCAACTAAGCAGTTCAACTTAACCTCACAGTTGGCGACTAGTTGGCCGCCTTTTAATGTTGGCATTGACTTTCCAATTGACGGAATGATTGCATGTACTTACTTCTTGGACAGTTCACCAGTTGCAGTAGCCATTCCGTGTTGGGTGTCTTATGAGTTCTGGCTAATAAGTTCCGAAAACTTTTAATATATAAATAAAGATTGCGAATGCGCCACACACACTCGAAGCGAATTGAAATGAGAT